TCCCACGATCAACACCATAAGCAAGACCCTAGAAGCAAAGAGAAGACCAAAGATATCAAGCAAAGTCCAAGCACGAAGATAGGAACCAAGCCGGATGCAAGATCGTGAAGAAATGAGCTTCACAGAGGTGACCGGACGCGGTCCTTATAGTGACCGGACGTGTCCGATCAAGATGCTCGTCAACGGTAGGCATCAGCAGCAGCGACTAGACGCTGAGGATTCAAGTGATCGGACGCGACGATGACACTGTTCACTATCGTGACAAATAGCTCAGCACTGACCGGACACTGGAGGGTGATCGGCCGGATGTAGGAACTGCAGCGTCCGATTGAGTTCAGAGAGGTTCTAGAGCGGTGCCAGTGCGACCGGACGCGTCCGATCGTCAGTGACTGGACTCAGCGCTGAGTCTGATCAACGTGCTAGCTTCAACGGTTGGGACGACTGAACGCGTCCGGTCAGGACGACATTAATGTCTGGTCAGTAGCAGAAAGCTAGGTTTCGCCCCCAACGGTTATTTTCTCAGTGGGGCTTATAAATAGACCCTCCAACCGGCCATTTGAGATGTGTGGAGCTAAGGAAACATACCAAAGATGTTAATACACCATTTTAGTGATTTTCACTTGTATAGTGCTTAGTGATCCATTAGGTAATTAGTCTAGGTGCTTTGCGAAGTGCTTAGATTGATTAGATCACCGCTTATGCGCTTGCTCTAGGTTTAGGCCTAGTGTTTAGTGAGGTTTGCACACCTCTTACCACTCGTTGCTTGTGCGCATCATTGTTGTACATCAGAGGGGCTTGTAGTCTTGCGAGATCACACCAACAGCGTTTGTGGTGTGACGGCCACCGTGTATCGAAGGAAACAAGGCCCGCGGTGGTTCGGCCGGAAGCTTGATAGTGAAGACGGCGGGGAGCATCCGAGAGGCTTGTCGAAAGGCACATCGGAGACCCACTTGCGCGTGGGAAAGGCCCGAGGCTATCCATAGAGTTACCCGATCAGGAGCTTAGCCCTTACGAGGGAATCTTTACGAGGGGCTCCAACGGGGACTAGGGGGAAGATTGCGCGCTTATCGATACCTCGATAAAAATACCTGAGTCGTCGACGGGAGTTTGCATCTCTACCTCATCTTTATCTTCTGCATTTATATTGTAATCTTGGTGTGTGCTTTACTTTCCTAGCTTAGTGATAGGCTAGTTGATAGGTTTAAAATCTAGGTTGCAGAACTCCTTTTACAGTAGAGATAGCAACATACTAGCAAAACTAGAGTTGCACATTTAGATAGTTTATCTTTTGTATATGTTTTGCTAAGGGTAGAAAAAGAGACCATAGTTTAGAGTTAGAGTTTTAAGTTGCCTAATTCACCCCTCATCTTAGGCGTCACGGTCTCTTTCACTCTTCACTTGCAAATAACATAAAAATAAAATACTTATATATGAAAACAACCGATAGATAAAAAAAACATACAAATTTAAAACTAACAGATTATCTTAATTGATTCATCATCCTTCATGGTTTAGGCATGAATTCTCCTCCTACAGCCCTCAGTACTCCCACAGCAGTAAACTATGTACCTTCCTGTGTCACTCTTTTCAATGTCATAATGAAACTCATGTTTGACAGCATGTGAAGCTAAAGCCAGCTTAAATGCATACATATCTCTATACACACTGCCTACTGTCATAGGAGGATCTTTCTTGTCATACTCAGCATCAGGCATATGATCAGGCTCATTATCTTTAACAATGTCATCTACATCCTCCATTTCATAATTATCATCATCATCAGACACAGATTCATCATCACTGTCTGTTTTATAGTATGTATCTACATCAGATACTTCACCATCCCTTTGTTTGCTGCAACCTTGACTCTGAGGTTTTGGAGGTGGTGGATGTTAAGGACCAACGTCTATATACAACCCTTCCTCATCAACACTCACATGCTCATTGGATGGGTTTGGGTTAGCCAGGTATTCATCATCTGTAGTTTCACTCTAGGTATGGCTTGGTTGTGCAATGCTAGGACAAGGCAGTGAAGGGGTGAAGGGGTTCTCAACAGACTGCCAAGAACTGCTAAAATCCCAAGGAGGAATTTTAGGAGGCTCGGTACCGGGGTTGTGGTAACCAAAAGTCAGGAAGCAGCACTTGGAAGCATTATGTTTTGCAAACATGTTAAGCAAATATTGGTCGGTGCAAACTTGGATGTTCATCTGTCTCAATGCAGAAGTAAAACAATCTCACAACATCCCTATAATCAGAAGGATACTTATTCTTAACTTCAGCAACCAGATCTACGAAGTTGGTACGATCAGCATCGACAACTTTGTTCAAGCTAAACCCCCAAGCACGAGTATGTCGAGCAATTATCCGGATTTCTAGGTTGTACCTACTAGCAGGGTTCATTCTACAGATGAACAACAGCGAGTTCACATACATCTATCTATCTAAAATCACACTATATCAACCACGACTACTACACCTAACTGACCACAATCACAAGGACCAAGCAATTGAAGCAGAAAAAAACCCCTAAAAATGGTACTCACCCGTTGTCGGAGACTAATACTAGGGTTCCCAAAGAAGAAGAGCTAATGATCACCGACGTTGATTCATCCACGCGATTGAGAGCGCGGTTACGCCGCTTGCCCGGCTTCGCCTCGCCCAATGTCTGAGGAAAGACTCCATCTCGCCGACCCATGAGCACTGGCTTCGCCTTGCCCGACGTCCGAGGACGGACTCTGCCTAGCCCGACATCTGAGGGCTAGCCCCTCCGCCGACGTCCGAGGTCGCCGCCCGAGCCCGACGCCCAGCCCTCAGGCCTCGACGCCGATGTCGAGGGCGGGCTCCGCCGCCTCGACGCTCGAGGGGGTCGGCTCCGCCGCCTAACGCCTATGACGACATTACCACCATACCGACCCAGGAATCAGGCGGAGCAGATAAGACAAAGCGCTCAAAGTCAACCACAATACCGAGGACCGTACCCTATACACTTGCAGGACAGTGCCGTCAAGTCATGTCAGAAGGGTATTTTATAACCTTCCCGTCATGTCAGAGCCCAAATAGTGTCGTGGGTCGGCACATTTGCCTTACAGTGTTATGGGCGCCGTCATTTGCCCTCGGGCACAGACCCTTACGGAAGCTCACGACAACCGCTCCGGTCCAGAAGGAAACTCGCATCGCCCGCAATAACAGATGTGCGGTCACTGTGCTGCCTGCTCCCTGCAGGGTCGCTGGTCAGCACGCTGGTCCGACGCGTCGCCCGTCGAAGCGGGATAGGACATGACCACCCGCTGACAATGCCAGGACATGGCATCATCAGCGGACAGGCGCCCGACGTAGCTCTGTCAGGATCAGCGGCCGACGTGGAGCTATCCCTACCACCGCCTGCCATGACAGCGGGGCTCTCATAGAGGAAAAGGAAGACTCGACGTCCTTGAAGAACTTCTTTTGCCTCTCGATTAACTCTTTTCTCCTGTCTGTAATCTCTGCTCTCCCTTGACCTATAAAAGAGAAGGCAAGGAACCCCACTAAGGGGATCGATTCACCACACTACGCATCACATCACGCATAGCTGAGCAGCAACAAAGCTCTCGGCACCTATTCGACCTTTCCATCAGAGACTTTGGACCTGTCCCTCTCTCGTCCATTTGTAACCCCTACTATGAACTTTTTGGTGCTAATAACAGCTACAACAGCCACGAACTGGACGTAGGGACATTCTGCCCAAACCAGTATAAACCTTGTGTCTTTTTAGCACACCATCCGGGCCAGACGCGCAATAACACAAATTTACTTATTAGTGTTTACTCGAAACATCGACACCCGTCAGGAAGCCAAGGAGGTCGGTCGCCCGCGCACGCCCCCTTATTCGCGGCCATGCGCCGCCAATCCAGAGGATCCACGGTCTTTTCCTTCAGGCCTCCTCTTCTTTGCTTCACTACCCATTCCACGCAACAAGCACGGGGGATTGAGGGGTTCTTCTCTCCGTGCCGTAGCCGCAAGCAGGGCTGGACTGTCTTCTTCTCTCCTGGCCGACGCCACTAGGGTGTGGGGGAAGAGGACTCGAGCGAGATAAGGAGAGTGAGGGACTGAGGTGGCTGTCAATCATACTCAACACGGTCTCCACCGCCCAAGGATAATATGGACAATTTCACTGGTTGGTCCCCAACTATAAAGGCTACCAAACGATGAAAAACAAACAGAAAATGGTTTGTAACGCAAAGAAATTTAGAACAGTCACGCATGTGTGCGGTAACTTTTTTTTAATGGTCATTACAAACTTTTTTTAATGGCGTAAAAGGCTCTTCCTCGTTTCCTCCGCGTGCATTCTGTGATTCTATCTCTCTCGCCCCACTCTCGCTCTCCGGCGACTGGTGGGCCGCCGCCGCCCTAAGCCAGGTGCGGAGGCTTTCATTGGTCTCTTCGCCGGCGACGAGCACCCACCAGGTACTCCCACCCCCTCCCTTCCCTTCCCTTCGTGCTGTGCGAAGGTGAGCACCGAAACCCTAACCTAAATCTATTTAGCTATTTCACAAGCCTCCTAACTTCGAAGTTTTTGCAAAAATTATGGGTGTACATGTGTACACCCATGGCGCTTTACTGGATCCGCCCCTGGCTGTGAGGAGAGTGATGTTTTTCCCCTGTATCTGATTAATCATTGTCAGAGAAAAAACTAGGGACTTTTGCTTCATCTGGAGGTTTAGTTTTCAAAGGATTATAATTGATGGATTAACTTCATGAATTGATAGACTTTAATCCTACATGAAAAGTAAACTACAAGACAGTGTATGTATTCCTGCATTAAAGTTTCAGATGTCTCGTGTTCGTCTATATATGCTATGCCTGATGGGAAAGCTTCTGTAACTTAAGGCCCCTGTGATACACTTTTGATGTGCATATGTGATGAATTTCAATATGAATGATGTAGGCTTTGATAAGCAGAACTTCTTACGTGCATCTTTGTGATAGGACTTAGGAGTCTTGACTCTTGACAAGTTTTCCCAATGGATCGAGTACCGAATGGACGGCATAAGGTTTCTGCCAATAGACCTGTAGTTGTGCTTTCAGATACTGATTCTGACTCTGACTCTGAAGGTAACAGCACATTCAGTTCTAATGATACATTGTCTGTCATTCTCTAACTCATGAAACGCTGCAGTATCCTTTTATTACATATATTTGTGATTGCACTCTTGACATTATGGGCATGCCATGTAAGACATGTTTGCTGTTCTCTTGCACAGCATTTGTTACATGGAAAGAGGCCTCTGGGACATTCAGGATAGGAAAAAGTACCTCATGTTATCATAAGGATCATTTATTTTTGGTGTTAGTCATTTCTTCTCAATGCCTGTGAGCTTTTCTTGGCAGGCTTCATACACTTGATATATTACTAGAGAAAAATCGTTGGCGGATGAATAGATACCATTTTTCCATTTTTTAACTGTCATTTGTTTTTTCTAATTGCATTGTACTCCACTTTAACTGTCAAGTCACCAACATCTTAAGTGTGTATCACTTTGATTGCAAAGTCTGCTACAAACTACTTTGAATCATGATTGACAGATGCGCTGTGTGCATATCAGCTTCCAGGTGGTAATAATTGAACTGTACATATGATGTACTTGATCTTCAGTATTTTGTTAAGAGCAAAATAAGGGACTCATTACATGAATAAAATCCTAAACTCTATAATATATCCGAATGTTACTGCACATGAATAGCTTGATGCATGCTTGAAACCTGCAGTACTCATGTAGTGCTGCCTGTTTCTAGGTTTTGTAGAAGAGCTGACTCCTGTTCACTCGAAGTCAAACGGGAAGGCTTCATCTGCGAGCCTAAAAACTGGTGGAAAGGCTTCATCCTTTTCTAAAGGTACAAATACACAGTGTTACTAAACATCATCCCCTTCAAAAGGTACTTAAGTATGTGTGCTAAAGATCAGGATATTTACCTTTATACCGTTATTACATTTCTGCCAATCTTTCATATGTTGTCTTATCAGTGTTAATTGTAATATTTCCATCCCCTTTTAGGAGAGGCAAGCAATGGAAAAGCATATAGTAGTGTCAAAGGTGGAAAGGGTTCTTCATCACATGCGGTGCCTACCAGGTCTGATGCAGAACTAAAGCTAGAGCTTGGTCAGTCCCCTCAACGAAATTCTCAAAATGCAGCTTATTTAGATGCTAATTTCCTAAGCTTCTAATACTGAAATTGACTATATTAGTGATGGGGCTAAGATTTCCAGCCTCATTTGGAGGGCATCATAGGATCAAACTATAGCAGTCCATGTTGTGGAAAAGAAAGCACACTTTTGTGTTCTGGTAATTCTCTAGGTGCATTTTAGTACCTCAACACATTCAAGGAGAGTTTTGGGGCCACAAGCCAGCACCCATGCTGCTCATCGGCCTTGGGAGTTCTTCCATGTTCTGTTGTCTCTGTTCTTCACCTTGAGAACTAGGGTCATGGAGAGTTTGTATTAGAACTCAATGGTGTTTCTCCCGTTGCCGTATCTTTATTTATTTTTTCTCAAATACCATCACCGTTTCTTTACAATCGAGCTATTTATTGTTCAAGGACTTGAGGGTCATTTATAAAAGATTTGGAATCTGTCCTGTGTTTGTTGCCTCCACTTGTATGTTGTTATCTACAGTTGATTAATTGCTCTTACCCTCTATCTCTCTCTCAAAAAAGAAACTATTACTGGCTTTGTTTTTTCCCTGCAGAATCTTCCGCTTAAAATCATCTTTCCACTCCCATTTGGATATCTTGTCATTTTTGCTCTTAAGTTGGTCACATGCTGGATACTTATGCCATGCAGAGATGGGGCATGATATTATTAGCATCTTGTTAATGGACATGCATAAAGTTACTCCCTCACTCCAGAAATGATCTATGTATTTTAACCAGGGGAAGTCAAACTTTGCAAACTTTGATCATAATTAGTTCAATTATATGTACATCTAATGCATAAAATTTGCATCAATATATTTGTATTCAAAGTGGTTTTGAGATTATGTTGAATCTTTAGCAGTTGACATTATAATACAAGAGAAATCTTGTGTCAAAATCTACTTTGAAAGACTTTTTCTGGTCAAAATGCGTAGATCATTTCTGGACGGAGGGAGTATTTGATAATTGATATGCTGGCACTGATCATGTTTATGCAGTCAGCTGGTTCCTGCAGGTATCTGTTTTGAAAAGGGTGATAGTGGGACAGTGGGTTGGTGTTGTTATCAATTTTTTTGCTTGTCGATGTATGCAAAGTGAGCTGTTCAGTAAAATGTATTTGACAATTTAGTTATATATTTGTGCGTCCCACTCCCACCACATATTTTGAGCTTGTAAGTGGTATATATTAATATTATGATTAAGTGAAATGTTGTGTAAATTGTAAAAGGAATTTGATGTTCTAAGTGGTATACTATTCATTCTGAAATCCGCAATAATCTGATTTCCAAGAGCCATTATTATCTCTAAATGAACCTTGTAAACTAATCCTAACCATGTAAACTAATCCTGCTAGGTTCTCATGCAAACACATGTGTATTTGCTTGTAGATATCCCTCCGAATTCTAGAATGCTAATGAATTGTGAAGCAGCTGAACTATTGCAAGAAATTCACGAGCACATGGCTATACTATCAGAGGACCCCAAGATCAAAATTCCTGAGTAAGAATAATATTTCCTGTTTATGACCTGTTTTACTCTTTTTGTCTCTGTGACGTTCAAGTCTCTTAGCTGTTTGTCTTGTTGTTTACTCTTATGTTATTGCTTCTGCAGGTCTTTTGACAAAGCTTTTCAGTATGCAAAAGATGGAAACCATTTCACCACTGCAAGCTCTGTGAAACAAGCCCTTGAGTATCCTAATCATTTTTTTTACTAGAGAGATATTAGAACTTGCATCTTATTTGAGAGTTATACTATTTTATTAAATGAACATCTTATCAGTACAGTTCCTTAACTGGTTGCTGCAGACCTCTTAAAAAATGTGGGGTTAGTGATGGCGAGGTTTGTTACTCATTTCTTCTTCCTTTCCTTTCTGTGTAGCACTAACCTCATCTCACTCTACCATTTTGGTGTGCGTACAACAGATATGCATGATAGCAAACGTTGGGCCTGAGACCGTTGAAGAGGTTTATGCACTAGTGCCATCTCTCAAGGTCAGCCTATTTCTGGGCACTTAGTATTTTGACATCTTGAATGTACCATTGTGGCAACATCTAACTCTTGCAGAACCAAAATTTGTTGTTCCAGGCTAATAGGTCAGCTACCGAAGGTTCAGTCACTGAGGTTCTTGCTGCCCTCGCAAACATAAAAGCTGCTAAGTGAATCTCCAATGGAACTAGACTGATAATAGTAATACCCATGCTTCAGATATTCGAATAAACACATATATCCTGATTGACGGTCCTTCATACACCATTCTTATTGGTCTTTATTGCCTGCAGAATCAGAAGCAGATGTCATTCGGATCAAGGAGCATGGAATCTGCAAAGTGGCCCTTTGGTGTTTTGGATGTACTGCATAAACATGCTGTGTATATAAAAAACGTAGCATGTGCTTCATGAACTCCTAGGATGTCTAACTGCTGAAGTGCAGATTCAGCTGAGTGGTTGAACTAGTCTACTCGAACTGATAAGTACTGTCTGCACTTGTGGCTACTGCTTGAACAATGAAGCTGATGACTCGTTGCCGTCTGTTGAATTGTGTCTCTCTAAGTCTCCACTTATCTGTTGTACTTCCGGGTTTGTGAGCAGTTTTCTCCTTTACCATGTTTGGTTTATATGGTTCCAGGTTTCAGAAGTGCATTCGATCACGGCGTGGTAGGACGGTCACCGGTGTCGTACCTTATAATGTTCTGTATTCTAATTGAGAATCAGTAGCCAAGGCTACTGTGATTATAGCATGATTAGTTAAACTGTAACCATAACAAGCGAAATCAAGCCCAGAAAGGGGCAACTAGCCAGCAAAGCTGTTTGTATGCGACTATGCGAGATGCATGCAAGGTGTAGATAGTAAAATAACAGCCGGAAATTCACGTCGATCAGCTAGTCACTGCCTTTGTAGGGTAATCGAACGGCAGTGGCTGCACGTCGTCACTGAGCGGACCGGCGTGCCGGAAACCGTACGCCCTCAGCACCTGGTCGTCGGCGAAGTTGAGCGCGCGGCGCATGCCCTGGTCGCAGCTGTCCCCGGAGTAGTGCTCGTTCCGCTGCCCGCTGCACGGCTGGCATCCCGTGAAGTGCGTCACGAACGGGCGGCGCCACCCGTGCACCCCGGTCTCCGCCAGCCCGGCCCCGGCCAGGGCGGCGTCCCTCGCCGCCGCGTACGACGTGTGCTCCCTCTCCGCGTGGCGCCTCCGCAGCGCGGCAGCCCGCGGGCGGCGCTCCATCGCCTCGTACCGTCCGTCATGTTTCCGAGCCGCCCCACGATCTCCGCCCAGTAGCCCTCGAAGTAGTAGTCGCTCTCCAGGAACACCCTGTCCCGCCACGGCCGGCTGCCCTTCTGCATCAGCATGTACACGAGCGCCGACTGGTCGTCCGACTCGTCGAACACCTTGTCCTTGAACGTGGACTTGAGCACGGCGCCCCAGTGCTGGTAGTCCGGGAATCGGGCCCCATGGCGGCCCACGCGTCCATGAAGTCGAGCGACCACTGGCAGTTCCGGATGAGGAACACGCCGGCGTTGAGGTTGGTCCAGGAGCTGGCCTCGAACACGAGGCTCGGCCAGCCGTGGACGACGAGGTTGTGGGCGTGGTACCGGCGCAGCGGGAGGCGGAAGTCCATGTCGGTGAACACGGCGTCGGAGTCGACCCACCACACCCACTCCGCCTCCGGGTGCGCGACCATGGCGGCGCGGATCACCGGTATCTTGGCCCAGTACCGGTCCATGGACGGCCGCAGCAGGGCCATGTTGTACAGCAGCTGCACGCCGTGGAGGCGGCAGTAGTCGGCCTTGTTCTTGAGCAGCCGCATCAGCGTGTGGTCTCCGCCCGGGGACCGGCACGGCGTCGGCTGCGAGCCGGACACCATGAGGACGCGCTCCACGTCGCCACCGGCAAACTCCGGGTGCGCGCGCAGCCACCCGGCGCGCTTCTCGTCCCACCCCGTGATGGGCCGGTCCACGGTGTACGCCAGCGCCGGGTCGTCGTAGAACGTGCGGGCGGCACCACCACCACCACTACCCACGGATGATGAGCCAGCAGAGCCGGAGGACAGGACTGCTCCGTCGTCGTAGTAAGCCTCCGGCTGAGCGAACGGATTGGCGAACGCTTGCAGCGCCACGGTGGCCACCACGGCGCCCGCGGTGAAGAGGAGCGCGTCCCTGAGCCACGACGGCTTCGCAGTCGCAGCGCGCGGCGGCATCGTGTGTGCTCTCGGCTCTCGCTATCGGGATGCACACGGCACAGGCCTAGTGTCCCTGTCACACCACGTACAATACTGACATGCTGGCCGATGCGTGCGGGAACGGTGTATGTATAAAGCCGGCCGTCCCACTTTCGGCGGCGAGACCACGTTGATAGATTTCTAGCATGGCGTAGATCAGTGGGGTTTTTCTCTTCTATTTGGGATAAACAAGCAGTTCGTCTTAGAGAGAGAACTAGAGGGAAAGAGAGGGATGTAGAGAGACGGACCATCGGTGGACTTGATCGGAGGAGGAAGCCATGACGTAGGTGTTGATGACGCGGGTGTTGGTGTAGGGTAGCAGTGGAGTCCGGCAGCGGTGTCGAAGGCGCAGCGGAGGCGCGGTCCAGTGGCGGCGGCGAAAACGGTGGAGCTTCCCGTCGCTCACAGCGCACCCTCTCGATCGTACTAGGGTTAGGATGTCGGTGGGAACTGATGGCCGCGGTGAACCTCATGTCTCGAGCTCCAGCCCCCACCCCCTATTCATAGCGCTGCGCGACGGAGGCCCACCAGCCAGGAAAACGGTTGAGCACCCCGATCAGGATGCGAGTCAGGGTCCGACTCGATCGTTGGACCGAGCCGGGTGGAGATCAATCTAAACACACCTACGCCAATGGCCCTCCGGTGCCAGCCTTGCCGCCGTGTCCGTCTGCGTGGCCGGGGGAGAGAAAGGCCAAGCGGGGAGGACAGCGGTGGTTGGGTAGCGGCATGCGTCCAAACGGGACTCTCATGCCGTCATGCATGCGCTCGGGCGAGGGAGAAGAAACGCACGCATGCGTAGCGTCTGCTTTGCAGGCTTGGAGCCATCGGCCGAGAGGCCGGGTGGAGAATCATGGATGGAGATGGCCCGCGCCGTCACGGATCGGTGGGTGGCAACTGTCCGCGGCGCCGGCGCGCGCGAGACGGCCCGCCGCCCCACGGGTTGGACTGATGTGTCTCTTGCTCTTGCGGAATTGAGGTGCTTGCTGGTGGTGACAGCCTGACGGCGTGACGGGCGAGTCCTGCGCTCTAGCTATAGGCTAGCCCACGGAGACCCGGCGGCACACAGTGGACAATATCGGCGTATCCGCTGCTTGTGCTTGGCGACTCGTGCGGACAGCCGGACGCCAGTCACACGACAATCTACTCGTAGCTACTACTCCCTCCATAAATCAAATCAACATCTCAAGCTGTTCTAAGTCAAACTTTTTTAGATTTAATTAACTAAATTTTATAAAAAAATGAACTAATATTTATGACACAAGATTAGAATAGTTAAATACAATATGAGATATATTTTTCATTATGTTTTTTCTGTGTCATATATTTTAGTATTTTTTGTATAAAAAATAAAGTTTGACTTAGGGATGGAGAGAGGAGTAGCCACAGTTTAAAATGATAAAATGACGCAAGGAAACTCTGATCTGAATTCTGAAGTCTGTAATGTGAGAGCATTGACTTGTTTTCGGAGGAAAGTGAACAGTTTTCTGCTCACTTGGTTACGAGCTAATGAAACCTTGAGCTGGGGCTGGTTTTATCGCTTTTGTTTTTTTTTTTTTGGTTTGGAGATGTACACCACTTACCGTACCCTGCTTGTGCAGTTGCGCTCGCGCTTGCAGAAAGCCAGAGTGCACAGCGAAACGGTGATGCGTTATTGACCATGAGTCCATGACCGGAGGAGGGCTCTCGAGTGGCGAGTGGCCTGACAAGTGTTGTGCAGTTCTGCTTCTGCAGCATGAGCATGAGAATGCCGTTCTCGCGGTACGAGGAGCTTTTGCAGAAAGCCTGTGCCGCCTGTGGATTGGGCAGTCAACCACGGTCCAAGAAGATCAATGCACAATACTACGACTTAACTGATCCATTTCAGGCACACATCTGATCAGTGATCAGCTGATCGGTCTGAGCAATTGAGCATCACTGTCGAGTGTCGAACGAGGAACTCTGCTGCCCAGGGAATACAGGACACACTAGCACAGATGACAGAACCATGCGTCCATGTAAATGGTCTTGTAAATTGTTGAACCGGGGCGCTGACAATTGCTAGAGACAATTTATGTTTCCTTTTCCCTGTCCAACTATATATCTGCAGCAGGGCCACACGACGTTGTGCTAGGTCTCGGGAGTGTTCGGTTGAGCTGGATTTAAGCTGCAGTCGTTGCTAAAACAGTGTAACTGAGAGTCAAAACAGCTACAGCTGCAGCCACAACAAGTGTTTTACCCTACTAGGATTCAGCTATTGTCACGGCTCCGTTCGGTTGGCAGAATTTTGGCTGAAACTGACTGAAAAACACTGTTCTGACTGAATTGTTGTGAGAGAAAAACACTGTTCCGGTTGAAAAAAGAAACCGAACAAGCCGAATATGAGGTAAGCCGAACGACGCCCACATAGAGCCTCTTACCTAGCTAGGACTAGAGGTCTTTACGAATGTAACTAACTATTGTAAGGCATTGAGTTTACTCTCCCACAAATATTGTATCTTTCTAGGGTGAATGCTGAACACATGATGCCGAGTAGTTAGTTCAAACATGCTGCTAATTTTGTCCAAAAGTGTGATTCCTCCGGAAATTGTGAATCGTTATTCAGATGAAACTAACTAGCCCAAAACTGTTGATGAAACAGAGAACTCACCGTCACCAGCTCTTACATCGTACTAAGGGAAGTAAAACAATAAGCAAAGTCAATCGATCAAGAGAACCAAGTAAATCGATGCAGGCCAAAGCAAAAGGTGAAACAGTGATAAAATGACATGATTAACCAGGTTCACGTTAATCATCGTGTTCACATAAAGTTATACTAACGACTGGCTCAATCCTAGACCATCCGGATAAAACAAGGTACTTATGTCACCAGTCACCACAAGCTTAAGCCTTACATTTCCGGATAGCCAAGAGATGGCAGATCTATCAACCTCCCAGTTTTTCTCTTCCTTACTTGAAAAGGAAATCTGTACACGAAAACGCACAATAAGTTTACAGGCAGAAATAAAAAAAGCACTCCGTTACTTGAAACTTAAAATGCCAAATCACAATTCATCAAATAGGAAATGCAGCTTGCAGTTCAATATGATTGTCTCGAGTAATGATACAACTATGAAGCTGAGCAAAAAGTTCAAGTCAAATAGTTTTCCAAATTATGATATCTGATTTTTTTTCTCTGCACTCATTAGCCATGACATGAATGCATCTGTCTGACAAGAACCCCTACATTATCGTCCTATCGCATCAGAGTTTGAAATTTAGTACAAACCATCAGTTGGAGGTTTTCATTCACATCAAAGCCAACAAGTGAGCAAAAGGCGGAAAAGTAAATTGAACAATGAGATGACAATATTAGTGAATAGTGAGCATCGGTGCAAATCAGAGCAGTTACAGCATGATGAGAATTTGCTAGCCAGCATGGCATAGCTTGAAAGTTTTACGGGCATCAGCCCCTGTGAGCATACATGTGGCAAGATGGTAGAAGCACCGCAGCTGGAGCCTAATTTAACTATTAGGGGAAGAAAGTCATAAGGAGATGAGATATACTATTTGTTAAGAAAGATTCTATTAGTTGGTAAGATTCTCTTTGTTACGAAATAAATGTTATTTTACCGGCCAAGGTACAGTATAACTACAAAAGTGTTTTGAGTTATAACTACAAAAGCAAGAAATAAACAAGAATCTTTCTACTACCCTGCTCTTGTGGGGCACTTGAAGGTCAATGGCGCCACTGTGTTACTTGGGTCCAGGGATGCCTCAAGCTGGCCTAAGGGTCTTTACGACAAGTCCCAACGAACCCCATTTAGTATCATGTTATTGTGCCATAATTCAGCAGGGATTCTTTGCCCACCTCACTAGATATCTGAATTATCAATCTCAAATTCTGAGATATGTGCTAACAGTGTGAGATCATCAGCGTCACCTGCGCTGAAAATATTTAACATGAGACTGACGTGATAGGACCACCTCTGCGTATCTGTCCTCCCATCCTTACCTATCCTATCTCCTCTCTGACAGTTCTATGCATGGAGATCACTAACCTCCATCACCCCTCATCTCCATGTCCAGGACTCAGCTCCTGGTTCTTCCTCACCATCCTCAGCTCCACTGAAGAATGCACAGCAAGGAGGAATGAGGCACTGCAGCAGCACAGACAAGTTCAGGGCTCCATTCTCTCCATCACCAAAGATCTGCACTCCAAAGGTGTCGACAAAGAACACCACCGCCCACAGCGCGATCTGCACAGCCGTAACTCCACCTTGGCTGCAGATGGTGGTTGGGATCACAGGAGAAGGGAGGGCGCAAAGGATTAGCTGGGGCGCAATAGGGAGGTGCTCTGCTACAATGCGGTTGAGTACTTGAGTGCAGGGAAGGGAGGGGGGGCATCCTCAAGGAGATGATTTCATCACCATGCGGTAATCTTTTTTGCAACATTAGAAGCAACTGAAGCAAAGTGCAAGTAATGGACCTCAGAATCACATAAACGCTTCAATGGACAAGATAGGTAAAGGTGCGAGGCCGCGAGCTGAGGTGGGCACCATACACACTACTTGGGAACAGGAATGCCTCAAGTAGGCTTAAGGTTCTTTACCCCAACCATGCTCATTACATTTGGTTCTATGGCCTTGGGACATAATTTCTGCCATGGAAACTGAAACGACCTGATTTCCGCGAAGGAAAATCCACAGAGTCAAAGTGTATTATGACCGTTGTAGATCATATTACCTAAATTTTAGTCGAATACCACATCCAAACAACGATAATATCAAAGTACAAATAGTGCGGAATTACATAAATTATTACATCGCCGCATTGGCGGAATCAAAAGTAGCATTCATTCAGAACAGCGTGAAGACAAGATCGCCAACCTCGAGCGTAGAAACGAAACCCTCAACCGTCAAACTCCTCAGAGCTATACCCCTCGGCAGAACCTGTGTGCCAAAATTTATCAGTACGATTTGTACTGGCCACTCCCACCCTATGAGCATTGCTTTGTGAAAATTGGATGCAAGTTGGATATAATCAAAAGGAACCTATAAGGCTGGGGTTTCCTATGTTTTAGCATATCAAGTATATATATATTAATAGTTGGTCAAGTTTTAACATCATTCCCACACCCATTCCACCCCATTTCCGTCTAGAGCCAGGTTTCGATCCTGGGATCGATATACCACCATCTCCACATTATCACAACATCACAACCATACCATCGCTCAGTCGACAGGCCAACTCCCTCTCGGCACTGTCTCATGGCCCGTAGCCCCTGGCTACGTCCGAACACTCACTCCCAGGAGGAGAAGAGAAGGACTCATCTCACTATCTAGTTTAAGCGAAACCCAGGAAAGGTCCATAGCCGACAAGTCGGCATATGTATCGATCGATCAACCATACACTCTGCAGAGGTTTTACATAACCACAAGATCCGCCTTCCTCGCTGACCGTCGTCAACTGGGTTGATTCCGACCGCTTGCTAGCCTAGGATAATGCCACTCTACCATTCAGCCCTGGTACACCCCAAGTCTGGTCTGGGGTGGCTGAAACTGTGAGTCATGAGCCGGGTCCACAAGGTCTCCATGAAGTCTCGGAAGGGTGTGGGGGGAATCCTCCGCGCCCCGTACCTCCCTCACACTGTCTGCTATCAACCTAGCAGTAGTGGCAATATCCTACCAAGTAGTCCGACCGTCTCGCACCATATAGGGCGAGTGGTACGTAAGGTTTCCCGGTGAATCTGAGTACTAGTAAGTCCTTAGGGGTGACCAAGCCAAAATATCTTCATCAGGGTTTCCATTTACCGTGCCACCACAGCACCTCCACCCTGGGCTCCTCCCATCACAGGTTCACACCCAAGGCCACCTCATATACCATTTACCCACCACAGGTATCCATTTTCAGGGGTGCCCAGGTAGCACCCCGCGGCAAGACTTGCCCCAAGCTCGTCGTACATTCCAACTTGGTCGACACAACCCTCACCCTCCACGCACCCAAGTCACACACGCAGCACTATCCCCATAGTCCAGATAACAACAGTTTCCACCACGCATCAATGTAGTACAAGCGTAGTAGAAGTAATAAGCAATGAAATGTAGCAGCAAGCGTGTGTCTAGCCTAATGGCAGGGTAAGCAAGGGTAAGGTTGCGTCAAGGTAAAGGCCATACTACCATGCAAGTCCTATCATAGTGTGAATATAATAATAAAGTAAAGCAATAGCAGTTCTATATTAGCCATGCGTAATAGGTGCTACGAGGTTGGGTGGGATGTGGCACCTTCAGTGTAGTCGTCTCCGTACTCCTCACGGTACTCTCGGTCCTCGTCCGTCTGGTTCTCCTCCGAGTCTGCATACGATCGAATTATGGTCGCGTTAGCGACGTCTATAGAATAGCACAAAGAAGCAATAAAAATTCAAAAGAGCCAAATGCACTCAAACATGGGTTCATTGCGTAGAGCTTGATTTTAGATGAATTTTGGTCCTGGTCTTGTATTTTTCTGAGGTCGTATGAATTAGTTATGAATTTCCGAAGATTAAATCCATTTTTGAAAATAATTAATGCTGATTAATTCTAGGCTGACACGTGTCACACTGTGACCGGTTCACGTGGCATGTAGGGACTTGGAGTGGTGTATCGGCTGGTGAGGTGGTCGGAGAGGTGGTCGGAGAGATCGCCAAAGTGGTCGGAGAGCTTGCCGAGGTGGTCGGAGAGCTTGCCGAGGTGGTCGGAGAGATCGCCAAAGTGGTCGGAGAGATCGCCGAAGTGGTCGGTGAGATCGCGGAGGTGGTCGGAGTGGTCGCCGACGTGGTCGGAGAGATTGCCGAAGTCCCCGACGCTGGCGTGGTCTCATCTTCGGCATGACGTCAGCATGGCGTCGTCAGAGCTAAACCGCGGCTGACAGGTGGGTCCCGCTGACGTCAGCATGACGTCATCATCTCGGTTGGTCACTGACAGGTGGGTCCGGGGTCAAACGGTGACTGACAATGAGGCGCGGTTCATGGTGAACCCGCCTGCGTTGGTCCATAGACCGCAGAGCCGGTCTATGAAGGTCTTGGTCCACTTACTCCTTCCTAGGGTTTGGTTCACGTGCACCAAGTGCACGGACGTGTGGCCGGCGAGGGGAAAATTTCCTTCTCTTCCCCGACGAGGCTCCCGCCGGCGGTGAGGTCACCGGCGAGCCCCTCCAGCGGCGCGGGTGTGCAATTAAGGTAGGCAATAGCTTGGCCTTGCCATGGTGGGTGCCCCGGTGAAGTTAACGTGGTGACCGGGCGGCTCCAGTTGGCTGGCCACGGTGGCGGCGGTCCTCGTACACCGGCGAGCGACGGTGTGGTGGCTGTGGCGGCGGTACCGGAGATTAGTGGTGCGCACGAGCTCCCCGACGCTGCTACGGCCATGGCGAGCAGGTCGAAGGGGCCCCGGGAGCTCTCAACGCCTCCGGCCACGGTGGTGGGGGCAAAGCGGAGGCGGTGGCGCTCCGACGAGGTGCGGTGCGACAACGCAGGGCTCCGATGGGCTTCATCCTCGGCTAAGGTGAGCGTGGTGTCTCTCGTCATGGCGGAGCCAGTCATGGTGTCAACGTCGCCTTTACTGCGACGTAGAAGACGCGGTGGTCTCGCCATGGTTGTGCTCTGGCCATGGTGAGCGCGTGCGTGCGTGCGATGCGTATGCATGGCATGAGTAGAGCGCTCGGCGCTGGCGTTCCCGAGCACAGGGCTCGGCGTCGCCCCCTTTCTTCCCTTTGCTTCGCGTTTCCGTTTGGCTCAACAAGAGGGTCGTGGTGGTCCTTCTATGCTACCGGTTGGCTAAGCCGGAGCAAGAGCTCGTGTTCCAGCGTGGTCCGTTCATGGCGTCCGAGAGGCTAGGAGTGGTCGTACCGGTGTTCCCGAGCTGCTAGGGGTCGGTGAGGCCAGGCCTTGGGCTTGTGAGCGTGCGGTGCGTGTGCAACGTGTCCAGGAGCGGGAATGCTCCGCCTCTGCGTCCCCTAGGTGCGGGAACGCGGTGGCGTTCATGGCGAGTACGGCTAGCGCGGTGAGCGACGAACGACGTGGCTCACCGTAGGGCTCGTGGTGGTAGGATGGCGGTGCGGTGGCGAGGCGAGGCAAGGCCGTGATGAGGCGATGCAGTGCCGTGCCGAGCAGCTACGTCGCTGTAGCCGATCGGGGCGGCGCTCCTGGCTCCGGCGAGGTCCGGTTCCGCAGCGGCTTCCTTCTCCTCATTGCTTCTTCCTCCTCCCTCTCTCTCGACTTGACGCGGTGTGGTGCTGTGCCACCAACGGCGGCGGCGAACGGGCTGAGGGTTAGGGCTCACGGGCGTTGGCTTTTATAGCCGAGCTCCAAGGGCTCCAATGGCGGACGACGATCGAGCGGTGGTGATGCGTGCGACGCATCCGACAGCCCACATGCGGTAGCGTAGGCGCGGCGCAAGGGGGAACAGGGTCATGCGATGTGCGTGACCCCGGGCCCGCGTCTGCTCCGTGGTCGGCTCCCGGTCGCGTGGTGGAGGGAGCGTGGGGAAGACGACGACGCTGTAGCTGGGCGGCTGACAGAGGGGGCCCGTTTGTCAGCTTGTCTTGATGCGGCGGCGTGCGGTGCGTGACGGCTGACGGGCGGGTCCAGCTCGTCAGCGGCTGTGCGCGTGTGGGCGGCGACGCTGGGCCGGCTTCGTGGGCTACGCGCGTGAAAGGGCAGGCGAGGCTTGGCTGGGCTAGCTGGGTCGGTCAAGGCAGGTTGGCTGAGCTGCTGCCTCCCTCTTTTTCCTTTTCTTTTTCTGTTTGTTTCTCTTTTCTTTCTTTTGCTTTGATTCAAATTTAGTTAGAGTTTAAACTTGGGCTTTGAGTTAGGTAATGGGTCCCACAAGGTGTTTCAAATGGTGGTCAAAATACATCCCATATATTAGGGTTTATCATAAATATTAAGTAAGTTAGTTAAACATCACATAAGGCAAAAGAATCCAAATCACAAGTGAGATTAGGGATGCATGCATGATTTATTTATTTAGGAATTTAATTACACATGTGGTATAAAACCAAACTATGCTTATGATTTTAACCTAGTTGGGTCACATCTAATCCAAAACTAGGGTTTGACTTCTACATGTGTCACTCAACATCACATAGGATTTAAACAAAAAAATTTGTAGTTGTGAATTTTGGTGTGTGGATTTTTGGGTTGTTACAGAAACAAAAAAAAAAGAAGTCTCCGAAAACCTAAAAAAATATGTAAAGGATCTTGTTTGGATGATTTGCACAAACCACCTCAACCGATGTTGGACAAGCTTTTCTTCAATTGGTGCTACCTCTAGACGATCACGTATATCATCGTTCCGAACTCGGTCCATCCTTGTGTGACCACAAATCCAGCGCAACATACGCATTTCCGCAACACTCATAAATAGTACAATACATAGCCTATTTATTATGCCATTCATAGTGCTACAATGGTAGAAAGAAGGAAAATCTAATAAAAATTACTGGAAACATGAGTACAGCTTTCCAACCCTGTAAACTCCCCCAAGAACATTTGGTGTAAGGATACCATATTACTATTTATGCAGCTACATGTATTTGAGAAGACTACAAATAATATCATCATATGCAGCTACATGCATTTAGTTTCTACAAACAAGAAACAAATTGATATTTTAACAAGGGAATGTATCATCCACATATCTACTGACTATATGAAGGTTGCACTCAAAGCTTTGGAGCCATAGAATAATGTAAAAATTTCATGGAATAATCCAGTAGTGATATTTATGTTTATGTTCAGAGCTAATTAAAATATAAAAAAAACTGACAAGATAATGTGTACTGTTTATGCAGAGCAATTTAATTTCAGCACCTCTCTGTATATCTCTTAGCTCTCTGGACAAGCTTGCCAAAGAAAAGGATTCAAACATGTCACCCTCATTGTTAAGTTAATTGGGCGCTTTCCAAGAAAGCTAGGAGCTTATTCAATGCTTGCTTTCATTTGCACACATGAAGGAAAGTTTAAATAAATTATTGACAACAAGTGTTTTGCTAGTTCGCTTACGTATGCCAAATGTACCCAGAAACTTCAAAACTTTGTGAAGTTGCTCGTTAACCACATCACATTTGACTTCAATTTCCTTCAGGTGTTTTAATATAGTAGCTGATCTCTCCATTTGATTGTACCTGCCTATCATTTCCACTTTATGTTGAGGTCCCTGTGATAAACCACAATAATCCATCAGTGTCAACCAATAACATATAACTAGTTCAACAAAGGAGTAGTTACAAAAAAAAAAGTATATATACCTTAGCAAAAAGATGAAGGTTGAGCTTCTCCAGAACCGGTGAGTGCTTGAGAATGAGATTTAGCCCATAGAAGTCAGGATCCAAGCACCACCATTCATTCAGCAATAGAGTCCTCAAGTTGTTAAAAGTTGGGCACCACAACAAATCCCTGTGGAAAACAACCTGGACAAAATGGAGACAGAAAAAATCGATTATTATTCAGTGTGAAAACAGACCCGTTTTAGTTTCTATGAATATCAAGAACTTCGTATAAATACCACGGCAGAAATAAAATCAGTCAGACTAATCAGACAACATAAGAATGGAAAAATAATAATAACTGGACAACATAGCAACTGAAAAATAATAATCGGACAAAACAGGAAATAATAATAATCAAACAACATAATAAAGGTGTTAATGGACAAAGTGCAAGCATACCCCATTGTAGTCACACATCAATGCCAAATTCTCAGCTTCCGACAATCCTTGCAGAAGAAAACATTTGTTCTTGTAGTTGGATTCGTCAGGTATGACACCATTAAAAGAGAAACAATCATCATTTCCACAATCCCAAATATGATCTCTGGCAAATGCCTCTTTTAATGATGGTGTGCTACCCAAAACTGGAACCGAGGAGAAATGACCATCTTAGCCTAAGTGAAACAAGGTTTGGGGTACAAATAAGAGTGTGCAATCCCTTATAAAAAGAGCAATCGCTGATGCTCAGGTGTTTCAGTGATTTTGACGAGATCTGGGGCACCTGATAAAAGTAAGACTCAGCAATCTCTAGATGTTCCAGATTCGGACAATTGGAGAAGTTGCAGGGACTATTTAACCATACATTGATCAGTGCAAGCGTTTTCAAGTGCTGAGAGACAGGCTAGTCTAAGTGAAATGTGAAATAACAGTCATGGATTTCGAGCCTGAGCATCCGAACTTGACGCTCTACAACATGCCGGATCCAGAGATTCAGACTGATTCTCTCTTCAACCAACCAGCAGCTAGTATCCCGAGGCCGTAACCTGAGCTCGCATGTGTGAAGACAAGAATCGCGCTTGCGGAGGAGGAGCAGATGGTTGACGAAGTGTCGGAGACTGTCCACGGACGGCGGCCGTCTATCCCCATGCCGGAACCCGATGCGCAGGCCTATGGCAGACTTCCAGAGATGGCGCCAGCGCCGGGCGAGCAGGCATGTCCGCACGGCATGACGTCCTCCGCCGGGAGGAACGAGAGGACGTGATGGAGGGCGTCGTCCGGGAGCGCGCTGATGCGATCGCCATCAGCATCCGGCGGCGACGGCGCACCATCCACCTTTGCCCTTTCCCTCGGAGTCATTCCTGTTAACAAAGGGGGTCGCTGCGGGCCAGGAAAATGGTGAGAAGGAGCGGAAGGCTTATAGCGGTTAATAGACGGGGAAGTCAGGAAGAAGCAGGAGCGGACCTGCCGAAGGTCGCCGGTGTGGTCGCGCCGGCGCTCGCAGGAGTCGCCGCCACCGCTCTGCGGGGAGCTGAGCAGCATCCAAGACGAGGCGAGGCAACAGCTCTGCTGCGACTACGAGGCTTCGTCCGTGGAGTTGCGGGCCTACAACCTGGTTGTCTTTGGGCCGCCAACCAACTACGGCCTCTCACTCCATCAACCGCAGCCGGCCCGTTTAGAGTACTTGGGACTTCAGTGGTCCAGTGAGCTTCGGAAGCTCCGGTTCCATTCCAGCGAACCTCGGCACCTCGCCTTGTGCTAGCCCCTGCTAGGTGGAGTAGTTAGCGACGAGCCCGTCGAGCAGTGGACTCAAGTTTTGTCCTTGAAAAAAATCACACACGTCTTGAGTACTCCTGCTTTGCAGTTGCAGACGCACGAAAAGTTCAGAAGTCAAGACAGACCATTAAACCCAGCATGTTTCCGATTATAAAAAACCGCATAAGCGTCCCTACCAAACAACAGCGACGAACACTGGCACACCGCATGATAATCCAAAGAATTATTCCTCAAAACTCAGAAAGGAATACAGCACAACTTAATTCCTTGAGCTTGCAGGGCTCGTTCTGTCTGGATTAAGATTTTGACGCCACTTCAGATTTGGAGTTTGATCAGACGGACCACACGCAGCCATGGACGCGGCGCCTTGTCACGCAGAAGTAACCTAGGTTGGATCAATCATATTCGTCTAAGGATTGGGTGTTATCCAAATTACCCATCACAGGACATAGATTAGTGAATTAAGGCAAGTCACTTCTCTATCTCTATCTTACTATATATATAGAACTAAAAAAATATGAAAGGAGACTCTACCCGACGGCACCATGTACGTCGCTCGCCTTCGCTCTGTCGGCTTTGTACGTGCGCCCCTAACACCGAAGGAGGGCGATTCCGCACCCCAAAGGAAGGTGACCGTGCACGCTCGCCCCTCGCTAGCCCTTCGATCAAACGTCTCACTCGATCAGGCGGTCACCTAGGAAGGCGAATTGGCTTTTCTTATAATTATCTTATTTTGGAAATTAAAAACTAAATAAATATATATATTTCACCTGGTACCTCTTAGGTGGTGGTAACCATCCTACCACAATAAATGGATGGCTCATAGTCATATGAGAGTACCACAGCAAAATGCATACCCATGAGTATAATACCCACTGATACCCCCCACATCCGGAGGTACGATGGTTGTATTTGTCCGTTTGTCAACCACAATGTTGCGAAAAGCAATACGTAAGAATTAAATATTCACAATGTGACCGAACATTGAAAGCAAGAAATAACAAAAACTAGCCAAAATTAAATATTCAATAAAATGCTTTTTGCACTGTACATTTGACACAGTACATTAAACAAACAAAGAGTTGTTGGTTTGGGAAGCTAGCCGACAGTGTTGGGCGTTGGCCTCCTCTTCTACCGTGCCTTCTTTGTTGAAGGCCATGGTCAGATTCGATGCAAGGAGGGAGATCGGGGACGGAGAAGATGGCGGCGGAGATACGTATGCGGACTTTTCTCTCTCGCGCAAGAGATATTGGAAGTTGAGGACGTGGGACCCCAGCCTTATGATCAAACGGTCCATTAGAGATATGAAGGCACGCCGAATAGGCGGCCTCCTAGGGTGTCCACGTATGTTATATTTAGTTGGTGCGTTAGATAGAAATTCCACGTCCCAGATGGAGTAGTACCTCACAGCCAGCATCCTTGCATACTTTCACCCATTGCCATAGGTAAGATGAAGCAAGTGGATGTATTCAATGAACCAGATAGAAAATTGAATGGACATGCATGCAAGCGCATGTATCATTTGCATGCAGGAAGTTACCATGGGTATTTACATCATTGTGTCTTCTCCTTTTACATTTAAATTTTCATGCATACACGGGTCCCTCCCTAAGCTATAAATGTAGGCTCCCCTTTACATACAGAAAATTTGCTATGAACGGTAAGAATTTACAGGACATGTAATGCCTTCTCCTTTTACATAGAGGAACTTACTGCCACCAAATTTTTATATGAAAGGACGCAACCCCAGGTGAGACCATAGCAAGGACCTCTTTAACTGCCTACAGAAAATTTACTGATCAGCAAGAATTTACATCGCCTGTGGTTAGTTCCTTGTCCCTGTACATACAGAAATTTACAGCTAGCTAAAAGCTAAAGCCAATGTGGTAATTTTTCATGCATGCACGAGTGCTCCCTAGGCTATATAAAATTTGTAGGTGCTCTTCCCATCTAGATTTACTATGAACATGTGCACCGTAGCTACCTAATAATACCTCTTTTACTTTTTTGAAGGTAAATAGTACCTCTTTTACACCATGCATGCTAAGCTTTATGTGGCTTCAGTTAAAAAAATTCACATGCGCAGCATTGCCCAAAGTAGGTGGCCCATTTAGTGATTTGCCTCCTTGCTATCAGTGCATAAAGAACAGCTCCTAGCATTGGCCAAAAGTAGGTGGCCCATGATTGGCCTCCTTGCTATCAGTGCATGAAGAACAACTCCCGCTTCGAGGAACATGCATGGGCATTTGTGCTCTCACAGGCATCAAGCGTGCATGAACAAGTTGCTTAGGATGGGCCCCATTCCCATTAATGAGCTTCTTGCACCCAGTGGTGGTAGAGGCGCCCATGCTCTCGCCTATATAAGCATGTGGTGTGCCAATCCGTTGCTTCATCATCATCCTCCCATTGCTTGCAAGTGGCCTCGTTGTAGTTCATAAAGTTCATCCCTGCAGTAGTTTGTGTGTTGTTGCTCCTTGCCTTTGTTACACTAAAACCACCAACACAAGTGTAGTGGCATTTCCCAGGCACGGCTAATGGCATAACAAGAACACTGCATAGGAAGCACTACAGAGTAGGTATGTGCTGTGAACCTATGGTAACGAAAGATTTTATAAAATTAACGCCTAATTATGGACCTAGCGAGTGGCTGGAGAAAGCTTTACATTTGAGCTCACTCAGTTAGCGTGTGCATATGAACGTAACAGGCACACTTTGTGCACCTAGATGTGTTGTGATCATGGACGGCCAGGTGGTTCCTGTGTGCGTATACGTGTTTAGCACATGGTTTCGATCCTCGGAAGTGACGCCTACAGCCTTATTTGTTTGTGTCATTGCTGCTATACATTCGGCTTCCTGTTTTCTTTGTTTCTTTTCCTTTTGTTCGCGTCGGTCCTCTCCTCTCGTGCTCTTTGTTCCCTCCGCTTGGTCGTCCTTTCTAAATGTAATTTTTGTGGTGCTCCGATCGTGTACACCATGGGTATGCACTTTTGTCGACTAAGTAATCTATATCGTTTGCATATCCACATAGTGTACTCTTCTCACCCCACGAAATTAGTTTATAAGGTATCACATTAGGTTCCTCCAACATTGATCCTTATATGTGGTTGTGGTCTACCTTATCGGGTGAAGTAAGGCCCATGTATGGGTGGTTTGCTTATATGGGTTTTTTGCAGAACTATTCTAGGCAAGAGATCAAGGTCTGCTCGCAGGGAACTATTCGCTGCAAAGAAAGATGGGGCAAGGTAGCTTCTTCATTCTTGTGCTATTTTATTATTTGGTTCCATCAGTTGGGTGACAAAGTATTTCCAACTTACAGCGACAAGTAAGCCTACCTCTGTGAACTCCACCATCAACTACCTATCGCTACACAGCTTCATCCAATAAATCTGATGTTGTTCTATGGGCCACATGGTGGTGCCATAAGCTATTGTCAGCATTATATCCACAGCAGGTCAAAAAAGGGCAGACTCAGTGCCGGAGGCTCCCACATGAGTAGGGTCTGGGGATAAGAAAAACCGAGGCAGGTCTTCCCTCCGCAAAATCTGCGGAGAGGCTACTTCGAACCCACGACCGTGACACAGTGAGACAGCTCTCACCACTGCACCAGGCTTGCCCTTCTATAGCAGGTCAACTAAAAGGAAAAAAAACTATTCAAAGATGTTGCTATGCAACCAACTGATAATATCGCAAAGAAAATAGAACCATTGATGGCAGAACATAAGAGATTAAGATAAACTTCAGATGACACAAAACAATGAATAAAGAGCAGGATAAAATTGAACTCCACACTTCTGCAACACACCAATACTTCCTAAGGCATACACGATGGACAATCCCAAATTTCATTACCAAAACAGCAATGAAAGAACAGAGACGTTTAAAGTTTTTGCAACGACACCACTCATTGCAAACGATGCTCATAGTATTAAGCATTCTGGGCTTAAAGCGGGGCCAAACAAAGGCTTCTAACGACTTAACAAGCAACCATGCACACTCACAGCGCTAAGAACGTACGAGGCCCCATACTTTTCTACTAAAGAGAGATTACATTCCCCCAACCAGCAACATTCATGGGTCACAGGCTGTCCAACTAACGTGACCACAAATCCTCCTTAGCTGTTGGTGTCCCCCTGTGACTCCTAAGTTCTAAGGCACTATCTAATGATAACAAAGTTTTGGGGCAAAGAATGGTATGAACAATCACTGAATTTGTAATGTAGGTTTATGATTTATGATTCAAGAACTCATTTAAAAAATGGTGGTACTGGAAGCCAATTAACTATGCTGAATTACAACTAAGCTTCAGTTATAAAAATAACACACCATGTAAATAAAACAAGATGAACATGTATAGCTTCAGTTTAAAGTAACTTTCACCCGCTGTAGGTTGGGAGGCAGTAGGCTGAAGATAGCCATGTATTAACTAGCACAACAATGAAACACAGGAACACTAGATTTGGATCTAGAAAAACTAATCAAATTTAATTTGGCAACACATGACACTTTGTTTGTCTAACAGAAATAGGCAATGTTAGGAAAATGTTCTGTTCTTTTCATCGGATATCATATTAAAGGTCAAATGGAGAAGCAAGCTCTTAAAATCCATTCCTTGTTCGTGTGTTTCGGGAAGAAATAAGCCACTACCAAAAAAAACTTAATTTGAAGAAACAAGGGCAGAAAAACTCAAGAATTCTTAATTATATCCATACCATGACAATCTCTACAGAGGTAGTCAGGCGCTTGGTCCAGCAGATTCATTATATACT